ATCGTCCAATTGCTCACCATTCAGAAGTCCCTTTCTGATGTGATAATGGGTCAATAGAGACCAATAACCTGGAAACGGGACATTGACGGATGAGGGGAGCTAGCCACCATGAGCTAGACATGGTCAGCCCCACCACGTTGGTTAGGTGTGATTACCGCACATTTAATGAGGTCAGAGCAAGTCCAGAGAGAGTAAGGTATCCCAGGTCTCCATGCCACCTGCCTCTGTTGGCCTGACACCTCTCTCAGTTAACGTACATAACCACGGGAGCCTCTGCGACTCACCGGTGAAGAAGGACCACAGCTCATTCTCAGTTCATGGATGGATTGTTTTAAGTCATTGGTGCTGGACAGCAGTGGACAGTTGTCAACCACACAGCTCCACTGGAGGGTGTCATTCCCAGAAGGAGGGCCTGGGTGTGCTTGCTTGTCCACTCTGTATGGCAGGAGCAGGGGCGTGCCCTCCTGGCAGGGAGAACAGCGTGGCCGCAGGGCAGGGGCTTAAGGACAAGTCTGAAAGATGGGAGACAAAGGGTCCTGGGAAGAATGATGTGGAAGGACCCCTGGAAGTAGCCACAACACGTGCAGATTTGTGTGCCTCACAGCAGGGTCACCAGGGAAGATTCAGGACAGAGGGAGCACCTACGAAGCAGGTAGACAGGAGGAATTGACTGGCAGGTGTCCGTCATGCCTGGTCCTCAGCCACCTCAGAGCTTGTACAGTGGCCCAGAATGGATGGCCATGGTGGCAGGGGTGGTGGCTCTGCGAGGGCTCATTACTGCAAACTCTTCACCAAGACAGACTTGTCTGCCTATTGCTGCTGCTGAATGTCCTACTGATTAGCAGCAAATTCTGGTGCAGAACACTCGATATGGTTTCATCCCTCAAGACCAATTAGTGGCTGGGAGATGAATTTTTCCCATGAGGCCCCTTCCACCTAGAGGGGGCACAGATTCAACTTGACCAGAATGGAACTATTCTGAGTGTCATTTGCCTTCCCTTTTGTGGTGGAGAGACTCTAAGAGCACCGACTCTCCACGGACGTACAGAGCACCCAAGGAACTGACGTGGGGACCTATGGGATGTGGACCTGGAAGGAGGCAGAACAGCGAATGCAGAACCGTGGGATCCTCTGTCCTAGCACACTGCACACCACCTGGAAGAGGCTGCCTCACGGAGGCAAGGCTCAGCTGGGCTGAGACAACGCCCTGTGGGGTCAGGGTCCTGGCCTCTGCCATGCAGGATGTGTGTTGAGCTGCTGATCATCACCTGAAGCCCTGTCCTCAATGATACAGTGAACCAAGGGGCACAACCCAAGGGCAGAAGTAGGATTAACTGCTGTCAACAGGAGTTACCCACTTTGGGAACTGGAACTTCTCTTCCTTGCAGCTTCTGACTCCATGAGATTAGAAGTCTCCCCGCGAGGACAAGGTCAGAGCCACACTCTCACTAGCGAACCGTCCAGATTTAGAACAGATTTACGTTTCACTAAACCCAAAGCTGCAACTGCCACCAGGTCACTCTGGACTCACTTTCACAGACCAGCAGGCAAAGGAAGGAATTATGACACCGGCAAGGACCATCACCCTTGATTGACATGAGGAGTCAGAGCTGCTGCCACATCATGCGGGGAGGGGGCGTGTGTGGGAACACAGGGCATCCACTGGAGCCTCTCTTGATCTCTTGAGGCCCATAATCATGGTAAAAATGCACAACGATGGACCAAAAATGGCATCACATCAAAGGATGCAAACCTGTACCACTTTAGGTGCCACTAAGAATAGGGAAAATCTAGAGTGGGTAATGGAGAGGGGAGATGTGGGAGAGTAGTTGCAACCTCAGAACCAGCGGCAGCCGTGGGTACTTCAGTATACAACATGTGTTCGAAAGTGTCTAACCTGGCTTGACCTTGGAGACTTGCTGACAGAGTGGGCTTAATGTAGGGCATAGCCATATCTGAGCAGCTCAGGATGCAGAAGATGCCCCCCATCACATCTGCTACCCATCGTGGACTTCAGCCATAACTGCCATGGGTGGATCCAAGCAAACTCCCATCCAAGCTGACCCTGCTTTCTGGTTCAGGGGCTTTGCAGAGACCTGTGAATCCATTTGGCCCATGCCCCACACAGCCCAGAGGTTCCGGGTCATCCCCACACCAGAGGCAACCTGGAGATAAGAGACTGTGGATAAATGCTCCCACCTCCCATCCCTCAGATGAACAGAACCAGGAAGCACCCTTTATACTTCTCAGAGGTCCCAGCAGGACCAGACCAGACCGCTCTGCTCACAAGAGCAATCTCGGTAACGGAGCATTCCGTCAGCACCTCTCCTGTCTCCCACACTCATGCCCTCTGCATTTAAGTCCCAAATAAGGCAACGGTGCCCAAGCCTGCATCTCAGGCTCTGCTGCCGGGTTCCAAAACCAAGGCAATAGCTATACCTGCAGAAGGGACTATTTGTTAATACTTGAAATCTTCCAGAGAAGCAAGATTCCATCCAAAGTCAGAGAATAATTAGAAGAATAAGGTGAGACGGGTTTATATATAAGACAGAGGGCTATTTCATAAGTTCAACCCTACCAGGTGCAGTTCATTTAATAAATTAGTAATATAGGCTTTTAGAGCTGAAATAATGTGACCCATATTATTCAAAAGCTTAAAGAGGCAGAGGAAAACATGTAACCCATGACTCCATTTTCTTTGAAAACATGTACTTTCATTGCCTGGGCATAAACACACACACACACACACACACACACACACACATATTGAAAACATTCTCAGGGCATCACTAGTGAGTGATATATTGTTTACAAGTCAAAGACTCAAGAGGAGAAAGCCTCTTGGTGAATAAATAGCCTGATACACCTACATGTAAGTGGAAACTGCAGAAATAAACAGAATTAGTCCTGCTTCATTTTTAGAGGAAGGTAATTTACACATTAATCATGTTTTCCACTAGCTACGCTTTCAAGAACCACATATTGTAGTTCCCCTTGCTCTGCAGTTTCAATTTCTACAGCTTTTGTTAACCCATGGTCAACTGTGGTCAAAAATATGAAATGAAAAGTTCCAGAAATAAACAACTCAAAAGTTTTAAATTACATGTTGGTCTGAGTAGCATGACGAATCTGGTGCTAGAGAGATGACTCATTCATTCCTTGGTCCAGTGTATCCAAGTTGTATATGCTACCTGCCTGTGAGTTACTTAGTACCTGTCTTGTTATTAGACTGACTGTCATGGTGTTGCAGCACTTGTGTTCAAGAAACCTGTTAGAGTCTGTAAACAAGTCAGGATGGCACCTGGCATTTTGCCAGAGAAATGTTAAAAGAGTTCGTAAACAAGTCTGGATGGTGCCTGGCAAAATGCCAGAGGGAGTGGTTTGAGAAGTAACAAAAGCGAGCCATTAAGTGTGGAGATTTCTTATTGGTTGACTGATGTATCTAGTTTATACTAATTAAGATAAGCTGTGTAAAATGTATAAATACCTCTGTTGTCCTACAATAAACGGCTCCTACTCCTGCTGTATCAACGTACACAAGTTATTCGTCACCCCCCCCCCCGCCCCGGGGCAGAAACCCTTATGTAACAAGTCTAATGTTCTGTCACAATGCCTTCATCCTTCATCTCACTTCATCTCATCATATGGACATTTTATCATCTGACTTCATCACAAGAAGAAGGGCAAATACAAGATAGTATGATACTTTGAAAGAGAGAAACTATATTAATATAACTTTGATTACAGTATTTTGTTATAATCATTTTATGTTTTCTTTAGCTATTATTGTTAATCTCTTTTTGTGCCTAATTAAGTTTTATCATAGGTATGTATGCATTGGGAAAAAACATAGTGCACATAGGGTTCAGTATTGTTCTTGGTTTCAAGCATTCATGGGGAGTCATGGAACATAACCACCATGACAAAGGGGTGCCACTATACAGACTTCAAGGGTTCTTTGGACCACAGTTCAAATACCTGAACCAACCCATATATTTTCCTTCTAGAAGTTTCTGCACCCAGTGGTCCATAGCATTGAGGATTCCTCCACTTTGCTAAAAGAACTCACAGATACCAGAACAGCAGATCCTGTTAGGATATTGCAATGCTGTTCCATGTTGACCCAAATAAATACAGCCTTCACACTTCTCAAATACAGCTCAACCTGCATCCTTCTTTTCCTAATTTCAGTGGAAGCAGGAAGAAGTTGCCATCGCTTTGCGCCATCCTTTGACTTCGCTGAAGGTAGTTAGTAGTTTTTATATTGGGCCAGGTCCATGATTTATAGGGATGGAAGGAAGCTGAGAATATATAAAGATTTGCAGGGAATGGTGTGATAATTAGTGTTTGCCTCCTGAGTAATTGTGCCATGAAGATTTTTCCTTAGCATTAGGGGCTGAACTCTGTCTATCCTTCTTTCCTGCAAAAAGACATGGAAGTCTTAACCCCCGGTAACTCATAATTTAACTCATTTTTTGAAATAGAATTGATGCAAATGTCTAGTTACACTAAGAAGAGGTCCTACCAGAGCAGGGTGGGCCCGAATCCAATATGACAGCTGTCCTTAGAAGAAGACAACTTCGTGAAGTCAGAGACACACATAGGGATGACATTAAGTGACCACAAAGGTGGAGGCTGGAGTCACGCAGCTACAAGCCAAGAATTTCCAGGTTGCCAACAAGGCAGCAGAAGTTGGGAGACTCGAGGAAGGAACCCTGCAGCTTTCAGAGGATGCATGACCCTGCCGATGCCTTGTTCTTGGACTTTTAGCCTCCAGAGCTATGAGACAATGGATTTCTCACAGTTCCCGGCTTGTGGTATACTTGTTACAGGAGCCTAAGAAACTAATACATTTACATAAATGGTTTACTTTTGACCAAGTGCCTAAGATATATTGACAAGGGGGAAAGTGTGTTCCATTTTGCACCCATTTCTTCTTGTTTAAAGGGACTTCAGAAGTTTCTGAAGTAAGAGGTTATTTTCAGGAATAATAATGCAAATTTCCATTTTGGATGCATTTAATTGTAATTTTGGATGTACTTAATTGTAATGTATAACCGAGAAGCACTTCTTACAAAATGATCCATACCAAATCCACCTGGGATTTGAAGCAGTACCGAACTCAACTCACTACCTCTGCAGGCCTTAAGAGATACACAAGTCTAAGAATAGCAGAGTATTATTCTAAAATTAAAATAATCACTACAGCACTGTGACAAAACGCCTTTAGGTGGGGCCTCCACAGGCCTGGCTGTGCCCGATTTAATTAAGGAGCTTTATCTGCATCAATAAATTATTATCCAAGGCAAAATAAAAGTTATTCGATTTGTTCACACTCAATTTCATTTAGGTGTACAATTAGGGGTTTAAGTCTACTGCAAAAATAATTCAGCCAAGAAATCAATTTTAGCACCTACAAAAAAGAAAAGCCCAACCAGGCTATAATTATAATCTTCCAAATGCTAATTGCATACAGTTTTGGATGGGAGATGTATGTATGTATACATATGCAATCTCCGTGTTTACCACCAAAAAAGATTCTACTTGTGTAAAACGCAGGGAAGTTATTTACATTATTTATGACTCTCAGCAAATCAGGACGCTCCTTTCAGAATCCCTTTTGAATTAGCCTGTGTTCGTCATTAATTATCTTTCTTGCCTCTATCCATATCTTTCGTTTTTCTCGTGCAGTCAGAAGGTAATAGGTTGAAGCCGAGAACTCCATAGTAGAAGGGAGCAGAGACAAGAGATCAAACGAGGCTCCGAGCTGAGTTTCAGGGGACGTCTGCTGTCTTTAGTGTGAGCTTTCTCGTCTGAGCAGACACTTCTCAGTGTTCTCACACAGGAGACCCGAGGCTGGAACTATGGATTGTCTCCCTCAGAACTGAATTTGGAAGCTGAGGATGCAGTCCAGTGGTGCAGTGTTTCCCCAGTGTGCGTCAGGCCCTGGGTTCAATACCCAGTAGGAACTGCACAGAAAGAAAGAATTGAAGGAAGGAAGGAAGGAAGGAAAACATAACAAAACTCATGTTGAAATTTGATTGCTATTGCCCAGGTATTGGGGGGACTTTTAAGAAATGATTAGGATAAGAGGAAGTATTGTGGGGTTTTTTTTGTGTGTGTGTTTGTGTGAAAAACTGGGTTAAATCAATAGCAAGTGAATTCTCTCTTATATAGGACTGATCTAGTTACCACAGAGTAGTTGCTATAAAGTGAGGCAATCCTCAATCATTGCCTTTTCCACCTGCACCCACTTGCCCTTCTACTTTTCTGCAATGTTATGATGCATTTTGAGGCTCTCACCAGAAGCCAGGCAGATGTGGCAGTCAGTACTTGGACTTACAGCCTCTGGAACCATGAATTAAATAAAACTTCCTTCTTTATAAACGACCCAGTCTCTGGTATTCTGTTATAGCAACAGAAGACAAACTAAGATGGGGGTTGAGTGAGTAATGGAGTAATTGGTAAAAACAATGTTTGTTTCCAAAGAGGTAATGACATATATGCTTCAGTCAGACCATAGTGTGACTATATCTGATGAAGAAGAGTGAGAAGTCAGATCACATTCAACAGGTTGTTCTGAGAGTCTATGGTTTCTAGAGCACTCCGGTCTAAAAATTCCAGGTCAATCATTTGGAGCAATTTCAGAATCCAAATTGAGTACACATTGATTTGGATTTTGTTATTTTGACCGTGTTTGTTTGTTCTGCTAAAACCACATTCACTGTGACAATGATGCCCTGCGTGGGTATAACAGGTCACAGTTTACAACAGTCTAATATGCTTATTTCTTCCCAGGAGACAGATTTGCAAGTGATTGTTTCTGTCTTGCCCTTTTCAGCACTGAAGAGGACACTGGGTGAATTGAGGAAAAAACTAAGGGTTGGAGAAGTTAAGTAATTCACCCAAGTTCCTACATTATGACCTTATGCATATTTGAATTTGCATTTCACAAGCAACAGTGAATGTTGCAACAAATAGAAAGGAGTTATTTTATTGACTGTAAAGAGTTACTTTGTATACTGTGTCTTCTTTCCTGGACTATGGTGAGAACCTCTTAATGTCTGAGCTCCAAGTAGAACTGCCATCCCTAGCATAGATTGGGGTGGTTGCCTATCCTTACAGCCCTTTATCCTGCTAGGGAAACAGATGTGCATCTTCCAGCCTACCTTTTCTGTAATGACAGCTACGTGTCTCTCCAAGGTGCCCAGGTTTTAAAAATTATTTTATTTTATTTATTCTAATTAGTTATACATGAAAGCAGAATGCATCACAATTCATATTACACAAATAGAGCACAATTTTTCATGTCTCTGGTTGAACACAAAGTAGAGTCACATCCTTCGTGTTTTCATACCTGTACTTTGGGTAATGATGTCCATCTCATTCCACCGTCTTTCCTACCCCCATTCCCCCCTTCCCCTCCTTCCCATTTACCCTATCTAAAGTTCATCTATTCCTCCCATTCTCCTCCCCCATCCTCATTATGAATCAGCTTCCATATACCAGAGAAGAAATTCAGCATTTGGTTTTTGGGGACTGGCTAACTTCACTTAGCATTATATTCTCCAATCCATCCATTTACCTGCAAATGCCATAATTTATTCTCTTTTAATGCTGAGTAATATTCCATTGTATGTATGAATATGTATATATGTGTGTATATATATATATATATATCAGTTTCTTTATCCATTCATCTACTAAATATATATATATATCAGTTTCTTTATCCATTCATCTACTAAAGGGCATCTAGGTTGGATGTAGTATGCTGATTTTAAGTCCTTTAGGTATAATCCAAGGAGTAGAATAGCTGGGACAAATGGTGATTCCATTCCCAGTTTTCCAAGGAATCTCCATACTGCTTTCCATATTGGTTGCACCAATTTGCAGTCCCACTAGCAGTGTATGAGTGTGCCTTTTCTCCCACATCCTCGTCAACACTTATTGTTGTTTGTATTCATAGTAGCTGCCATTCTGACTGGAGTAAGATGAAATATTAGAGTAGTTTTGATTTACATTTCTCTAATTGCTAGAGATGATGAACATTTTTTCATATATTTGTTGATTGATGTATATCATCTTCTGAGAAGTGTCTGTTCAGGTCCTTGGCCCATTTATTGATTGGATCATTTGTTTATTTGGTGTTAAGATTTTTGAGTGCTTTATTTATCCTAGAGATAAGTGCTCTATCTGATGTGCATGTGGTAAAAATGTGTTCCCATCCCATAGGCTCTCTATTCACCTCACTGATTGTTGCTTTTGCTGAGAAAAAGCTTCTCAGTTTGAATCCATCCCATTTATCGATTCTTGATTCTAATTCTTGTGCCACAGGAGTCTTATTAAGGAAGTCGGGGCCTAATCCCACATGATGGAGATTAGGGCCTACTTTAGGTGAAGGGTCTCTGGTTTAATTCCTAGGTCTTTGATCCACTTTGAGTTGAGTTTTGTGCATGATGAGAGACAGGAGTCTAATTTCATTTTGTTGCATATGGATTTCCAGTTTTCCCAGCACCATTTGTTGAAGAGGCTATCTTTTCTCCAATGCATGTTTTTTTTTGGGGGGGGGTGCCCAGGTTTTAAAAGAGGAAAATGAGTAGAGCTTCCAACAATGACATTGGGAAAGGTGGGGAGACTGGGAGACAGTGAGGACAGGCAGATGCCGGCTTCCCTGGACACTGACCACTGACTGATTCACTTGTGGAAATCCCATGACTTCAGCACTAACTTGGGAAAGGAAGGTGATGAGTGCAGTGTGCCCAGAAGAAAGTGGGTGAGCGATTGAGAAAGAATTCCCAGGAAGGGCCCTTGAAGGAACTGGGGAGGCTCAGTCTGGATGGGAGCCGTCTCAGGAGGACGCATCCTGCATCCTCTAACGTGGACAGCAGCTCTACAGAGGCAGGAGACGTTCTCCAGTGAGTGCACAGGGCATCATGAGATCACAGGGGAAAGACCCTTAGGGGGAAAGTTCACCTCCATTTCAGAAAAGGCATTCTAATGATCAGAGCAAAGAGAGGCTCAGGTGCTCTGGGAACTTTCCATTCTGGGTGGAATTATGTAATCAACAGCTGTATGTCTGTCAAAAGGTGGCCATCTAAGTTTCAGCTCAATGGGCCGATCTCTTCTGGTGGATTCTAAATTCTGCTTGGCTCCCTGGATTCATTATTGCTTGGTGTTTTCTAGAGACCTCCATATAGGACGGTGATCCTTTCCACCTACCGTGATCTCGGGGTCATTTGATGGTATCATGGCTTTGGCTGGTTCCTGCTGCACTGGCTTCTTCCTCTGAAGACACCCAACCCTGCAGGAATCCTGAAGTGCTGTTGGGAAATCTCAGGTATCGGCTGAGGTTTTACTTATATCAGTAGACCTTTGTGTTCTCTGAGCACCTTGCAGTGTGCAGCCATTTAATGAAGTTCTGATGAGTGAAAGAGTAAGTGACTGTAGGCATGAATGTGAATACCAGCTTAACCGTTAATCACGAAAACAACATTCCAGGCTTCAGAGAGGGGAAAAAGAAGAAAAATAATCCAGAATTTTTTGTGATTCTTCAAGGTAGATGTGAAGGTAGAAATTAATTATCAAGTAATTGTTCATGATTCTTAAAAAAAATATTCATAGCATGATAAAAATAGAAAATTTCTTATACTTATTTTTAAATATATAAAATCGATAGCATAAATCATTAAATGATGACACTAAAAACTATTCCTTCAAAATAAAATAAAAGAAAGATATTTGCCACCACTTCCAGTAACATGTTACTGAAGTTTGGACATTACGCAATAAGACAATAAAAGAAATCAAAGGCTGAAGGACTATACTTTTTAAAAAGCTGGCACTATTTCCAGGTAATACACTTGTCTGCCCCTAGAAAATCCAAATGAGTCTTATTTTAATAAGATTCCTAGATTTTTAAAAAGTCAATATGCAAAATTCAGTTGTACATCCATACACTGGAAATTAAAAATGCATAATCCAAAATTATAATATTTAAAAACAATGCATATATAAAGTAATGAAAAATAAATATGACAGAAGATTAAAAGACATTCAGGTAAACATTTTTAAACTTTCTAAGTAACTTCTGGGGGTTGTGTAAATTGTTTTAAAAAAACACTACGGGAACATAATATTTACTTAATAAGATTAAACATATGCTCAATGTGTAGCCCAGCAGTTCCATTCTCAGGAATATAGTATATTCCTGAGAATAGTGTGTACACCAAATTCTGGGACTGACGAGAGGCATACATATAACGCACACATAACATTCAGAGTGGCATTGGAATGTCAAAACTTAAAATCAATGTTCATCAACAACAAATGTTCACCAATATAAAATGCCCATCTATAAAAAAATGGACAAGTATATTGTGACATATGATAATAGTAGTGATAATAAAACAGGAGGTTAAAGAGAAACTTTGGGACATGATGGCTTTGATGGCGGGGATGGTTTCAGAGCTGTACACTTATCCTCAAATCATCAAGGTGTGTACATGAGATGTGTACAACTTTTTAATGTGTTAATCATATCTTAACAAAGTGGTTAAAACAGATATACCTAGGTCACACTTATTTCATGAAATACTCTATAGCCATGAAAATATATGAGACACAGTCACACATACTAGAATGGATTCATCTTAAAAGTAAACCATGAAATAAAAGAAAGAGACTAAAGAATATATACAATGCGCAATGAAAGCAAAGCTACAATATTTGCTATTTGAAGATACATATGTATGTGATGAAAACTATAATTAAAAGCATAAAATGCTTGTAGTCAGCTTTGAGATCCTGAGAATTTTTGTGAGGAGAGAGAACCACAGGGAAGGAACACCTAGGGAGCTGGGTTTGAAAACTAGACATGATTGACAGAAGCTCCTCTCCGCCGTCAGCCAGCTTGGATTTGTCCTCTATGGCCACTTCTGTCACTGCAGCAGTAAACTCTGAGCCACAC